GAAGCTGCTCTTGTGCCCTCTGCCTGTTCGGCTCATTGCAGATGCCTGCCCCATGTGGGGATTGCTCCAGCTCCACACCCATGGCCTCCAGCAGTGCTAGGCAGGTACTGTTTTGTCCACTGCTGTGCTCCAGTCTCCATATGGGAGGCCATGGATGTGTAGGTGTCTGGCTGTGGGTGTCTGGCTCCAAGGCAGATCTCCTGGAGAATGAATTAAGCTCCCCATGGGGAGTGTGCAGTACATTTAACTGCCTCATAGGCAGTGTGTGCTATCCAAAGGTTATGAGGGTATCTACTAAAGCTCCTGCTAATTTGATCTGCAATAAATCCTTAAAGGTTTTATCAGCAGGAGGAACCAAAAAAATAAGCTCATTACTCTTTCTCACCAATAGACTGTGATATTTTTCCCTAATTTCACTACCTAATGTTATGAATTTATAGAGAACAGTATCAGTGGACAAATTAGACCTCTTCTTGATGACAATGTAGCAGAAGAGGAACTATGCCTGTATAAGCTTGGTTTATGTAAGACTCAATTTTTGCAGCAGGGTTGCTGAGGATCCACCCTGCAGAAAATCAGAGCAGATGTGTAAAGTCTTTGTGGAAATAGGAGCCTTCCTTTCTGATCGATCTGCAGTGATACCATAGGCATGGATTAGACCCCAGGAAGGGCATTTCTCATGCTATAAAGTCTGGAGGTGGGTGAATATTTTTACAATCAAAGGAAGGTTGGGGCAAAAAAAAAAAATAAAAAGAAAAAGCTGGCATGTCTCCAGGAAGCTCTGTTTTTCATTTCACCTGAGCTGTTTAGAATTTTTACAACTGAAAATTACTTCTTTCCATCTGTGAAGCATTTGCTTCTTGGAAAAGATGCACAAAGCTGAGACATGAAAGGCATTTGAAATAAATAAATAAACTAATGCATTCTTTGGAGAATCCATGCTGTTTCCCTACTGCTCCCCATTTTCTTATGAAGACCTCTCCACAGATGGAGGGCAGCCGTGGTGTCCTCAGCAGTAATGAGTGAGGGAAAATAATTTCAATAAGTAAATGACAGTAGTTAATCTGCCTACACGCTTAATAAATTCTGTTTCTAAAGCATAGGCCACAAACTAATTTAGTGAGAGGAGGGCATCTTTCATCTATGTGCATTAAAAAATGTTACAATTTCCAAAGAAAAATTACCTAATAGAATCGTCTGTGGGTAGTACTGCCTGATATAAATACTTTGTGCAGGAATGGCATGGAGGATGTCAAGTGAGGCTAAAGCACACACTTCAGAGAAAATTCAAGGCTGTGCCTCTGTTGACATGGTAGCTGAAGATTGTTTTGTATAGCTCAGTAGAGAAAGAGATAAACAAGCCATTTCTCTGGTCTTTCCCTAACATCCCAAAGTTTATAAGTACCCAATAACAAAAATAAAGCGGCAGTGGTAGCTATTGCAAGGTTCATAAGTCCTCCTGCTCCTCTATGACTACATACCTCTTTAAAAGGCATCACAAAGAAAATTACCCAGAATGTCTCAACCAAAACTATGGCAGGTAACTGAGGAATTTTCCTCTGCCCTTTAATCTGAAATTATTACAGTATAGCAGAGAGAAGGATGCCCAAGTAAGGACAACACCAAGGGCAGATACTCCCTCGGAAAGAACTTAAGACTTTCCATTGATTTCGGCCAAAGGATGCTGGCTCATGCTGGCTGCAAGTTTTACCCTATGCTTTTCTCCCTGGAAAGGAGTTACCAAGTGTCCTTCTGTATGCTCCTGGTAGTGACAAAGTTCAATCAGTGACAGCTATCAAATTCTGCCTGCTCAGGAGCAGGGATCTGTGTTTGCTAAGGGTTTCCCTGGATTCAGAATCAGAAAGCAAATGTAAATCTATTCTTAAATCTTTTCTTTAGTTTACAGTAATTTTGAGTATACCAAATATCAAGCTTTGAGGAAGAAAAAAAAAAAAAGAAGAGAAAACCCTCAAAGGCCATGTGTTTGATCCCAGGCTCAGCAAGGCATTGTTCCGTGGATGAATTTGCAAACCTCGGTTCTATCACTCTGCTAAAGAGAGAGCTATCAGGGTCTCCTTAATGTGTTACACAAAAGGGCTGCAGCGCACAAAGCCTGGAACACATCAGTGTACAGATCCCAAGAGGGTCCTGTGGAGTCTATTACTTTGATGAAGTGGTATTTAAAATTGCATTACCCAGCAGCTGTTTAACCCTCCAGATGTTGCCCCTGTGGGGTGTTTAATAGGACGTGAAGTGCTGGTAGGCTAGGCCATAACCTCATGTCATCTATTCAGCAGGTCACATCAGGTCTTACCATCTTCTACTAAATCAATACAGGATGACCTGGCATAGCAACTTTCTTCATCTGCTGTCCTTTTTCTGTTTATTTTTCCAAAAGTGAGTAGAAAAATCGGAAGAAAACAAAATAAATACAAAGGAACGAGAGAAAAGAAGAAGATCTGAAAGCCATCACTCTCAGAAACTTTTGTTCATCTCAGTTCGTGCTTTCCCCTTGTCTGCGCTGACAGCGCCGATCCAGCAGCTTGGTGCTGCCATCTGCTGATGCTCCTGCTGCTCACGCTGCCCACGTTTTTGAACAAATCACCGATGGGCAACTAAAATAAATCCGCATCATGAATAAATAAAAGATAATTCTAAAGGGAAATAGGTAAAGAGCCTAGAATGGAAAACCTTAACCTTTAATTTTTGGCAGCATTTTTGAATCCTTGTGTAACATGCTAATAGTAATTCCTAAGGCCATCAAAAAGATGAGGCATGATCAACTTAACTTTTGGAAACATTTAGTCTGGAATTTCCTGTGGCTATTAGGTCGAGTACCTGATGCTTCACAGTGTTTTTCATGGTTTAGATATTTTGTGATACAGGTATTTGTTTTACAGAGCTGGCTTCCAAAATCAATTAAAACCAAGGAACAAACTTGTTTTGATTAGCACAGGGCACTTGTTAGATCACATTTGCAAAGATGAAACTTTCTGTCCAAAGGCTGGATACCCTCTGGGGCATCATCAGCTTCTAAGAACATAAACAAAATCCCTTCATTCACCAGAAGGAATTCAGCTGGCATATAACTTGCCCCATCACCCATCATTGGGCTGTCCGGTATCTAGCTGGGCTGTAGTTCTGCACTTAAAACACAGTCTTGACAGGAATTTTGTTTTGGAGGTAGATATGAAAATGAGGAATGAACTTTCATTGGGGAGGGGGGGGGGGTTCCTTTTCCTTAAAGCAGAAACAAATTTGAACTTTTTATAGAGTAAGAACATTGATATCCAGGATGTTGAAAATCAAAAGCATTTTGCTTTTATTATACAGACCTCTATTTTTTTCCTTCCATACTAATTTTTCTTTTTTTTGTGTGGAAACCTATTTACACTTCTCAGCCAAATCTTTACCAAAGATTTCAACACGGCCAAGATTTCAATCCTTGCTGGCCAGTGTTAGCACAAATGTGATGGTTGTTACTATGATTATATCCACAGAGAACTGGTACTTAGAGGAAATAACAGTTTACTGGCATCTCTTCTAGTGAAGTTTTTGAGATTCAAGTATCAAGAATGTAGACATGTACTGAACACACTGTGCCAGCACAAATAATCTCTTGACACATGACTGCGGCCACAGAAATCTGTGCCAGCACGGCTCTCTCAAATCTGAAAGGATTGACCACTTCCTCTCACTGTTACAAAACCCTGTGTAGGAATGTAACACAGCTACTACAGCACATGACAGCTCAGGAATGGATGCCTGTCACACCAAACTCTTGACAAATATGTTTTTCATCACCTGGCTTCACCTTCTGTTATTCTTCTAGGATGCTATGGAGTGGTATCCTATGGAGTGGTATCTTTGGAAAGTTGTATCTTGGGAGTACTGTAGAATCTCCTTGCCTGATAAAGATAGCAGCAGTAAAGCAGCATTTAGTGGGGCAGAGGTTCTCTAGTGTAATCCATAAAGTTGGAGCTTGGGAACTTAACAAGAGTTGTGCTGTAATTTCTAGCTCTGAGGAATGGTCTTCCTTACCTTTGCAGATCCATCTCCTCCATCACTTACCTCTTCCAAAATTGCAAGGCTTTGAGAGTCCTTTGGCTGCAAGAAGAATGGGTATCTTTGAATCCTCTCAGGATGAAGTTGATAGACTCAAAAGAAGCATTTTCTCTGTGTGTGTTTTAGTGAAAAGATGCAAACAAGATGAGAGAGCAGACTTGTGCTTACAGAACAGCCGACTTCATGCTCCAGGTGTGGTTAGTGCCAGTGGGAGCTCAACCTGGGAGCTGCCCAATCTTGATAGGCACCCACCACTCCAGTTCTGAGATGGAAATTGTGCTGCCAGTCACAGTCAGTAGACATAAACTCAAGTTTAGAAATCCTACTAATACACCCACGAGTCATTTTAATCTCTTCCCTCTCCTTACTTCCCTCCTGTTCTTGTCGAGCCCAAATATCCACATTTAAAGTAGCATTTGGTACTATGCAAAATGTAAAGTGAATTGGCAACAGCATAAATCTGAAACACAGATATGTGAAGATACATTTAGAGAGAGAAAACTGCTTTAATATATTTGAGTTGAAACTGGAACATGAGTGTATGTGGAAGAAACAGTACTTTCAACTCTCTTAGCAGATGTCCAGACCTGGAGGTGGCTGTGCTGGCAACAGGGCAATAAGTGTCTGCCTGGGGCTGGAGCTTGTGTTCATGCCTCTGGGAGCAATGGGGAAATGAAAATCACCATTACTGTGCTGGTGTAGATGTAACTCATGTGCACTTGATCGATGCTTCGCAGGGGAGCCAGAGACAGCACGCATGGGGAGCAGGCAGCTGTAAGCGTGCATGGCAAGTGTGGCCAAACAGTGCTCTCCCTTCCAGGCCAAACACACTCCATTAGCCAAAGTAACCAGAAACAGGTGATCTGGCCTTTGAAAATCAATAGTATCACCATCCCCATGTCTTCCAGGGTACAAAGAGCACTTATAAAAACAGGTTTTACTGGATCATATTGTATAGTTCAGTTTACTTTTCAGTATCAAGGTTTTGTTTAAATGATGCGTATATATCAATAACAGTTAAAGAGAATTCAGACATTACCAAATTTTAGTCTCATCTGGCCTGAAAATTCCAATTCTAATACCTGTATTTTGGGTATAATTGTTGTCAAAATATCATCTTCTGAACATAGAAGCTTCAAAAGATTTAAACTGCTATTGTTACTGTTCTGTATACAATAGAAAAAATATATTGTTACTGCAGAGGAAAATGACTTGTTACATGCTTCTCACATAGTATCTTTATTAAACATTTGGACAGATATGCATCCATTTATTATATAAGTAATCTATGGGTTCTTAGTTTGCAAATGCTGGTTGAGAGTTCACAAGAGCAGGCTTTTCTGTGAACTTTCTGTATTTGTAAGTTCAGCCACTGCAATAAATCCTGAGCCTATTACCTGCTTAGCAGCACTTTGCACTGTACCCCAGTGGCTAAAGCTTGGAGCTCTGCATCTGAATATTTCAAAACCTCAGACTATCTTGCTTGGAGCTTGCTTTTCTTCTTAAATAATGCAAGTTGTTCTGGAAAGAACATATAATTGCAATTATCTGATAGTCAAATCCTTGGTCACTAACATACCAAGCTCCACTACCACTAATAGAGGTTTCATTGGAGCAAAGCTTATTGCAGCATTTTGTAGTTGTTAGAAAAAAAGTGTTCTTTGTGCGTGCTGTAGTTCAGAGCTGTAAGGTCTTTGTGAATGGTTACTCTCAAAGCACTACAGAAGTTCCCCGGTTCAAGGTGGCTCCTGGCTCCTCGGAAAAAGGAATGTGGGCTTCCAGCCTGGGAGGAGAGAAATAAGTGAAAAAGGAGCATCCCTGGGCTAGGCAGGACAGGTCTGCTTAGTGCAGTTCTGCAGCTTGGACAGTCAGTGCTGAGCTGATTCAGAAGGAAGAAAGGTGGGTGCTAACCCCAGTAAACACAGTGCACATCCATGAATCCAAGTCATCAATTACAGTGAAATCTCCTCCAGCCCTATTTGTCAGGGCAACAGGATTTTCAGCTTATAAAACCAGGAGTCACTCTGTGGTCACCTAACCACATAATTTAGGACACAGAACATCCTTGAATTTGATCCAGTTCAAACTTGAGTAGGTCTTTTAGATTAAAAAAAACCCAGCAACATCTATTCTCGATTTAAAAATTGCTAACGGTAGAAAAGCCACAATAACCTCTTGCAATCCACACCAGTAGCTAAGTATTTCCCTGGTGAAATGCTTTTCATCCTGTGCATTTGTCCAGCTCCAGCCACCAGATCTTTTTATATCTTTTCTTGCTAAATTGGAAGAGCAGTAGTCTTGAAGTAAATACTTACCATCTACAACCAAAATCCTTAAACTTTTTGTTGGCATGCTTAAATGAAGGGAACGCTGTACTTCAGAGCTCAACACACGTACAGAGGAATACAGGACTTCATGCCAAAAATGCGTATTCCCAGGAGTTACATTAGTTCCTAACCAGTTTTGTGCCTGGAGTTGACACCCAGCAAATCCAGTTTAAGCCCATTGACCCCTGGTGAGGTGTGGAATTGTGTTATTATATGTTCTATTATGTATAAGGTCATTCCATGTATCCCCCCCGCACTCTGTAAGTGACCCCCCGGGTTCTCCCATTTCCCCCCGCGGTCTGCCTTCCCGAGGAAGTGCTTAGTCACTTTGTTTACGTCTCTCAGACCATCTGTCAGGCATGCGGCGGGGTCGAGAGACGACCGGGCACCCTTCCATCTGTCCATCTCCCATTGGACCCCTGCACCCCACTATCCCCAAGTCCCCCCGTGGCGTTATCTCATTGGCCACCCCGGGTTTCCCCTATCCCGTACTTATAGAACGGGTTTGGGGACGCCCCGGTGCTTTTTCTCCCGCCTGGCCCCGACTGCCGCTGCTGCCCGGCCCGCCGCCTCCTCTCCCGCCGGATCCCTGCGTGCTGCCGCGGCTCTCTCTCTCGCCCGGCCCCTGCCGCAACCGCCGCCGCTGCCCCAGGTGATCGCGGCCGCCCCGGGCTGCCCCGCGATCGCCGCCTCAGCCGAACCGCTGCCGCCGCCGCTGCCGCGGTCGCCGCGGCTCCTGCACGTGCCGGCAGCAGCGCCGCGGCTCTGCTCACAGCGTCTCTTGGATCGCGGCCAGCGCCGGAGCGCGCCGCCCCGCCCCCGGATCGGCCAGGCGGCACGGACAAACTCGAACTTAGCACGCAGCAGCTTCTCGGTTTTTTCCTCCCCAACCAAGCCATAATAAACCGAGATATCGCCCGCGGGGGAAAAAGTCTCTCTCCTTTGTTCGCCTCGGGACTCGCCTAAGCTCCCAGACCCACGCAGCACCGGCCGACACCCGCGAGGGTTCGCCGGAAAACACGGAAGTTGCCAGCGCTCCCCCCCCCTCACAGAGCTAGCTGGGACGAAAAGGGGGACAAGAGAGAGCGCTAAGGCAGTTGTGGCGACCAACGCGTTGCTTGGGAGCTCCAAGCACACGGACTGAGGACCACCGAGCCCCGAAAAGCTCGTTGATTTACCTCGTGGACGTTACAACACCCTCGCAAGCCGTGGTTCCGTTTTAAGGAGCCAGGGCTTCCAGAGGGGTGGGGCCGGCACCTTTGGCTCGCACCGCCGAAGCTCGGCCCCCCCACGGCGAAAACTTCGCAGCTGGACTTTTCGTTTCGCCTTCGGACGTCGCCGGACCCGTGGTGAGTTACCGGGGTCCCCCTGGGCTGGGTACGCCTTGCTCCCTTTGGGGTGAGTTTCTCTTTCCCCCACAAGAGGGCGTAAGAGCCCACATTTTGTCTCCCGCTTCAGGGATTTTGTAAGGGAGGGCTTCCCAGTCTCCGACAGGCGTCTTTTTTTTTTCTTTTGATATTTTACCAGCCGCGAGGGTTGTGACACGCCTTAACATCGACATAATGGGTGCAAAAATGTCTGTGTCACAGGAGAGAATTTATGTTCAAACCCTAGGAATTTTAGTGGGGGGAGGGAAGAAATGTAAAAAATCAGACGTGAAGCGTTTTGCACGGTGGCTTCTGCAGTCTTTCCAGGACCTGTCGCAGGAAAATTTGTACCAAGTCCAATTCTGGGACCGAGTGGAAAAAGAAATTGCCCAAAAGGAGGATCAGTCCCTCTCAATTTTTATCCACTTCGCAATTCAATTGAAAAATATTGTTAAAGATAACTGCAAAGGGAAGCCAGAGCCACCGCAGGGTGAACGCTGCCTCCCAAGCCCCCCAAATCCCCCAAAAACCCTCTCCTATCCCTCTCTCCCTAGCCCGGGGATTCTCAGACAGGCATCCCGGCAAAACGAGCCGCAGGCAGATTCTGGCCTCTCTGTTAACCCCCAGGCTCCATCGCAGGACGATGCTGGCATCGCCCTGCACCCTTCCCCTCCCCAAACCTCCTCTCGTTACAAAGTTGTGAGTTTTAAAACCCCAGATCCCTGCCCCAGGGCACAAGATGGAGGCGACCACATGGCATACCCCTCCCCCTCCCTGCGTTCTTTGTCTCCTAACGACCCCCTCCGCCCTACAGCCAACCCCTCCCACTCCCGAGACTTCTCCACCCACCCCTCCCCTCCACCCCCTTCTGGCACCTCCCCTAATGAATCATTCAGCAGTCCTCCCTCCGACCCCGCCCCTGCGGGTGAGATAACACCAGCCACACCCCCTAGCCCTGGTCCTGCCTCCGCCCTCGGTTCCCACGACCCGCCCTCTGGTTCCCACGCCTCGGTTCCCGAGGGAGGGGGGGGGGCGGAGGAGGAGGGAGGGGGGGAGGGGGGAAGCCGCGACCTGCCGCAACCCCTGCTTGCCTTTTCTGCCGCACCAGTCACCTACACCCCGCGGCAGAGGGGCAGACCCTTGGCACAGTGGACCCCTATCCCACAGGCTGTGATTAGAGATGTTTGCAAAGCCCAAAAAGACTTTGGTCGGGAAAGTGAATACTTTAGGGGACTTTTAAAAGTCACACTTTCCTCCAATGAGTACGTCCCTGCTGACATCCGCGCTCTGTTTTTGTGCTTGCTTAGTCAGGCTGAGTTTTTGGTATGGGAATCCGCATGGAGGCGGGAGGTACGGGATGCATTACCGCAACTTTGGGCAAAAGCCGAGACCTCCTCTGACACCGATGGAGGCATGTTAACCATTGACCACCTGTGCGGGATAGGGGATTGGGACGTGGCAACAACACAGGCTGAAAAGATTCCAAGGGGGGCATTGGCAGCAACTGCCAATGCAGCAGAAAAAGCATTTTTTAAGCTAAAACCCCGTGGTCCTGTTGTTAACTGTTTTTCTATTAAGCAGGAGACACAGGAATCTTTCGTTAACTTCGTAGACAGGTTGTACAGGGCAGCTGAATCGCAGGTGCCAGAGGACGGATTGAGGCAGGGCATGGTGAAACAGATCGCCCTGCAGAACGCCAATGAGGCCTGCAGACAGGCGATGCTGAGCCTGCCCCTCGACCCAGAGCCAACGCTCCAGGACATGCTGGACGTGTGCGCTCGAAGGGTCACCCTGCCTTCAAAAGACCCTCCGGGGACACCCCAAACGCCATCACGGAGAGTCTCCTTTGCCGAAGCCCACACGCCATCCACGGCTCCGGCTCCTGCACGCCGCTTCACTGGGCCCCCACCCAAAGGCTACCATCCAGGACGGCCCTGCAACCTGTGCAACAAGAAAGGACACTGGGCATCTCACTGCCCCCTCAAAGAGGACTTCTTGCGCTTTAAAAAACAGCAGCAAGGGCAAGGTGCCTCCAACTCAGGGGAACATTCAAAAAACTGATTTCCCAGCGCAGTCCCTCCCTGCGTGAGGACAAAAATTTGGTGGGAAACATAACATCAGGGGGCAGGAGGGACAACACAGTAGCATACCCACCTGAGGATAATACCAAACATGACATTTCTGGAGTGCACAATAGGGGAACAAGAGCTGGTGAACCAGCCTGCGTGGGAGGAGTTGGGAATTTCATCTCACAGGCATGGCTTGGTCGGGACCCCGACCATCCCAGGCCCATCCTTAACACCCAGTCCAACTCCTCTCCATACAGGTTGGCCCTAACCGAACCCCTACTGCTCAGGGACAGCAATTGGCACTTTGTCACAGTGGACACACAGGACCCAGGGACCTGGAGAAAACTCCACAGTAAGTACATCGTCCTTGGGGACACAAAATACACGCCACTCGACATCACTATCGCACCCAATTTGACACCTGCAAACCCTAAACATCTGGTGCTGTGGCTGCACTGTGCTCACCCGCCAGTCTACCTTCCCAAAGGGCAGATCATTGCCCAGGCCATACCTGTATCTGGGGCCCCTGTCTACCCAGAAGACCTGTGGAAGAAATCCGCAAAGCAGATCTACGAGGTGTGTCAGGCCCAGGTAATTGGGAAGGATAGACCCAAAATTGAGTGTTACATGTGGAATGGCGGTGAGCACAGGTGGCTTAACGGCCTCTTGGACACAGGGGCGGACGTCACAGTCATTCCCTCACGGGATTGGCCGTCGCGTTGGGAGTTGCAGGACGTGGCTGGACACATTCAAGGTGTCGGAGGGGCACAATTGGCAAAACAGTCAAAAAACATTATCAAATTTGAGGGGCCAAACAGACAGACAGCTTACCTGCGTCCGTTTGTTCTGGATTACACGGAGCCCCTGTGGGGAAGGGACCTGATGGCCCAGTGGGGGGTCTCATTGACCATTCCTACCCCCCAGGTTTTTCGGGCAGCGGTCACTGAGGAGCGTCCTACCCAAAAGTTAAATTGGCTCTCTGATGTTCCAATCTGGGTAGAGCAGTGGCCGCTCAATAAA